AACTTTTGTATTATGTGTTTCTTTTAATGTTGTACGCCGCCCTGAGTCCTTGGGAGAAGGGCAGCATATAAATCTAATAAACCAAACCAAACAGAAACTAGTAGTCAGGGATTGCCTTTCTAGGAGTTCATTGTTACCATTTGAGATGTGATAATGGGGAATAAAGTTCCAATGGACTGTTATTAGAACTTAATAACACTTAAATGATAGTAGAAGAGACCACTTTATAGATATTGGCATTGATTTAGCTTAAAACCATACGTGGGATGGATATAATGATCCAGATGCCTGTGTGACATTGTCTTAGTTGGGCTGAAATATTTTTTCTTCAGTATTGCTCTTTCATTTGATTGCAGATGAAACTATTTTTAGACAGAAAATGATTCTTTTTATTCTTGTGAATTTGGCTATCTAGGTAATGCCATGGTCTTCAAGCCTTCTCCTTTCACCCCCATCTCTATTGTGCTGCTGGCAGAGATCTACACTGAGGCTGGTGTCCCTAAGGGACTTTTCAATGTGGTGCAGGGTGGAGCTGCCACAGGACAATTCCTGTGCCAACACCCAGATGTGGCCAAAGTCTCATTCACCGGGAGTGTGCCCACAGGTGTTAAGGTATGCATACATACATACATACATACATACATACATACATACATACATTAATTATATGAATGAACATATACCTGTTCATTGTGTAATTTATATATTTGCCAGTTGCCAAATCTACAGGTATTCCATTGAAATCACAAAGTCTTCTTTGGAAATGTGAAGATCACTTCTTAGTCCAGATTCTACTTCTGAATTGCATGTTGGTGAAAAATTATCCAGTAATTCTTACTCAATGTATTTATACGTTATTTTTTTCTGTGCTGAAGCATCTGGCAGTATTTTATAGTCAAAATAGCAATAAAATACATAATTAACAACAGTTCAAATAAAACATATTCATTATAGTTAGAAGAAGAAAAAACATTCTTATTATTCATATCAAAAAAGCTTCAATAATGGCCCATTGCTACTCTAATAGTATAGCTTCAACAAATTCTAGCTGAGGCTCTTTGCACCTACTAAGAAAGATATATTTTATATTTATATTATATTTATATTATAATTGCCTGTGTTAGTTGCTATATCTTGTTCTGTTTTTCCCCCCAATAGATTATGGAAATGGCAGCCAAAGGGATCAAACCTGTTACTTTAGAGTTAGGAGGAAAGTCTCCCCTCATTATCTTCTCTGACTGTGCATTGGATAATGCTGTGAAAGGAGCCCTCATGGCTAATTTCCTTACCCAGGGTGAGGTAAGGAAAGGCAAATTTTATCTAACAGGGAAGAAGCTGTGGATCTGACTAAATCATTTTTAAAAGTCCAGTTAAGTTCCATTGTTTGATTTGACTTATTGATATTTGTTACGGATTGCTGTTCCAAAGAGATATTAAATCAATGCAGAAATGTCAGGTACCGTATTTTTCGGAGTATAAGACACACCAAGATTTTGAAGAGGTAAATTTTTTTAAAAAGTTTTTGCCTTCCCCAGCCCCCAGAGCACTCTGCAGGTTTCCCAAACCCTCTGAAAAATGAGGCTTGCGGGGAGTTTGGGAGGCCTGCAAAATGTTTCTGGGAGCCAGGGAGGGCAAAAATGCAATGTGTGGGGGCTTGATCTTCCTAAAGGGTAAGGCTTTTATCAATCTCAAATCCGCTTTTCTCTACCTCTCCCCACAGCAGGGCAGAACTAAACATATCTCTGCACTTTATTTTTTTTCCCCTCTGACCGGCAACCGCGCAGAGCCGCTTGGCCCAAGGAGTGGCAGTCGGCTCGCTTCTTCTCTACAGTGAGGAAAGAAAGACACGTGGGGGCTGCTGAACAGCTGCCGCTGCACTGGACTGGGAACGTCCCATTGGGCAAGGAAGGGTGGGGATCCCTTCCATTTGGATTAACAGTTCCTCATGGTGGTGCCTGAGCAGCAAAAGGGAAGCCCAAAGAAGATGACTCGGCAAGTCTGCCTCCTTCAAAAACCGGACTTGTTCACAGCCCTCTTCACAATCCTGCTTTCTTAGTCTCGGGGCAAAAGCAGGTGCCAGACTCCCAGCTACCATATCTTTGCTGCATGACAGATCCAAGCAGATTGGGGGTGGTGGTGGAGGAAGAGAAGAGGAACAGTCTTCTCCCACAAAGCCTTTTCTCAGGACGCTAGAAGTTAAAAACCTGGAATGGGATACAATCAAGCTCCTGAGATCGCTTCACTACCACCCAAAAACGCTGTTACCACAATCTCTGCCAGCTGGAATTGCCAAGAAGGAGCAGGTGAAGTGGGCTCTGCAGAGATCGCTATAACAGCATTTTTGGGTGGCAACGCAGCGATCCAAAGCTAAAGCCTTTGAATCAAGCTTGATTGTACCCCATTCCAGATTTTTAACTTCCCAGTCTAGCATCCTGAGAAATCTAGCGTCTCTGAGGCACCTCTCAGATACAAAAGTGTCTGAGTAACCGGGAAAGAAAGCCATGTTTTTTGGGCTGCAGTTTTCGGGGGGTTGCAAGTGCGGCCTTCTTTCCCAGTTACTCAGAGGCTTTTGTATATGCCGTCCTCCTTATTTTCCAATCTAGTGTCCTGAGAAAAGCCATTTTTGCAATCAGGGAAGAAAAAAAGCATTTTATGTGACAGGCGATTTCAAACTGCAGGGATCACCGGGTAGCCTGGAACCGCCCGCACCTGAAACACTCTTTTTCTTCCCCGATTGCAAAAACAGGATGTGCATTCCTCCTGGCTAGATCCATCTCCCAGGCCAGGAGCCAAGCTGGCAAGCCATCAATCACCTGGCTGCCTCTGATCTGCCTGCCCTGTGTCCATGCCCAACTCCTGCGCCCTCACCTGACCACACTGCCCTCTCGCTTTTCTCCCTGCCTTCCCCAGTTGAGAGTGCTGGCCAGGAAAAAAGAGAGGGCGAGTCTGCAGAGGAGGAGGGCGCGCGGCTCTGCAATGTGCACTGGGGAACTGGGAAGGAAAGCATTTTGAGGTGGCAGTGCGTACTGGAATCGCCTGCCACCTGAAACGTGATGTATTTTTTTTGCTTCCGCATGCGCCCTTTTTGGAATTGGGGAGGGAATTGTGGTGCTGCCGCCCAAAAGTGCTTTCGTTGAAAAGGCTTTGAGTCAATTCCCCGGGCTGCTTCGGGAATCAGGATCCATGTGGAAGTGAGGAATTCCCCCCCCCCCGGCCTGGAACCACCTGAAAATGTGATGTGCTGAGCGGATGGGTGGAGCTACATTCAGAGTATAAGACGCACCCAGATTTTCACCCTCTTTTGGGGGGGGGGAAAGGTGCGTCTTATGCTCTGAAAAATATGGTAATTCTCAACTTATGATCAGTTATTTAATGACTGTTTGCAGGCATGACAGACTTTGAATGGGTGCTTAGCTGACCATAAAGCACTTTTGACCATTGTAAAATGTTGCATCACAACTGCTGTCATCATATGACCGTATTTCAAGTGCTTGGCAATTTGTCCACATGTATGACCAGTTACAAAATGTCCTGTAATCACTATTTGAAATCTTCTCTGTCAGCTTCCCTAGAAAAACATTGGAAAAGCTGTCAGGAAAGATTGTGAGGGAATGTTGGATTTGAGGCCTGTTCCTCCAGCACGCTGAGGGATTTCTCCTCCTCTGTGCAGTTAAAAGAAATCCATCAGATCTCAAATCTGATGAAAATGCTAACAAATGTCAGCATTCTCCCCCCTCCAATCTTCAGAGGAAAAACATTAGTGAACACCAGCATTCTGAGCCATTCAGAACAATGGTATTTGCTAGCATTTTCACCAGATTTTAGGTCTATTCTTCCAGAATGCTGAAGGCTTTCCCCTCTAAGAAGTGAAATATATCAGCCCACTGGAGAAACGGGCCTCAGCTCTAGTGGAACAATAGCAAACACCATAGTTTTTGTGGGTATTCTCCCTGGTGGGACGGGAGAGGGCCTGGGTGCGGTGGACGACCTGTGCCCTCTTCCTGCCCCACCACACCTGCAAGGCCCAGGCCTTCTCCCTGGCATTCCACTTAACAACGTATGTGGGTCACTTAACAACTTTATTCAGTGACTTAACCCAATGGTGGTCTGTAAGTTGGTAGTTACAGATTAATTCTGAGCCTGTCAATTCTGAAAGTGGGCTCTTTCTTAAACCTTTCTCTATGCCTCAGGTTTGCTGCAATGGTACTCGGGTGTATGTACAACGATCAGCCCTGGAGGCCTTCACCAAAGAAGTTGTGAAACAGACTCAGAACATCAAAATTGGTAACCCCCTGCTGCAAGATACAAGGATGGGAGCACTTATTAACAAGGCACACCTGGAGAAGGTCTTGAGTTTTGTTAAACAAGCAAAGGAGCAGGTGAGCATTATGTTTACTGAGCTTTATCCTGAGGGATTGGGCTACTGAAAATGCTTCACTCATTTGCCACATGAGGTGCTAGAACATCATACAGCCATCATATGTGCAAAATTGAGTATTCAAGGTAGAACAAAGGTGCTTTTATGTGTCTGAAACGTTTATGGCTATTCAGTGAAAAATCTGATCTGGATGCATATGTTTAACAAACTATAATTGGGTGGCTAAAAATAATGAGCACAGTATTTTATTCTACTTGGAACGACACTGGAGACAGTAGAGGGAGAATTGTTTTGGAACAATTAGAGGGCTTCTTTACCCACCCTTTGTTTTGCCTTTGCCACTGGACTTGTTGTACTAACTGACCGCAAGAAAATCAATGGTGACATAAGCTGGAGAAAGGCGGAACGATGGTAGGAACAACGGGACCAGCACCAACAATGCAGAGTATGCAATTGATGCTCCAGATGATACAAGAGACATTGACAAAAAACCAAGAAGTGACGACTACAAATCATGAAGAAATGAAAAATGAAATAGGGGAATTGAAAGGAAATATCAAAAACATGGATGACAAAATTGAAAGGATACAGAATGCCTTAGCAATCAACGAACAGAAAATCCAGAACATNAGAACAAAACTCCCTTCTACATACTCCTCCAGTACCATATAATTCCCTTCCCAAATACCATGCCCCCACCCTCCCCATTTCTATGGCAGCCAATATCAAGCAAGCGAATCAGAGGCTGACATCTGGCCCTCCTTCAGAAAGGACATTACCCCTGGAGAAATATAAAACAAAACAAAAACAGCAATAACAACTAATAACATTATCAAATTCAAGGCTTATCAGGATACCTGGCATAGAATTTCCGTAAAAGTCTGGGAGCCCTAACACTTTGTTCACTCATTCAGCCTGGGAAGGGGGAAAATGTTTCCAGGACACCAAATATTGGATGCATCCTCTATGTTTCCTGGAATCTAAGATTTCTTTAACTTCAAAATGTTGCTCTCCTTCAATCAGGAGGGGAACAGGGGGTGAGGGTTGGGGTGGACGAATGGAAGAAGTGTGTTCTGGTTTCAGTAAGTTTATATGAAACACCGGATAAATCCTCCTAAGGGCCTTTGGCAATTCCTATTTCACTGATACAGGATTTATAATTTTGACTCTGGGAAACGGACCCACATATTTCGGACCCATTTTTTTCAATTTCTGGGTGGTTTGCAGAAATTTAATGGACAAAAATACCCTATCCCCAACCTGATACTCTTTTGGCTTGGCCCTTCCTTTGTCAGCTTGTTTTTTGTGTGGTTGGTGAACCGCATCTAAGGCCTTGCGGGTCATCGGCCAAAACCATCGAAGTTGATCACTCCACTCAAGACAAGGACAAAATCTGCGGCTTTTCTTGAGGCAATTCAGGAATGTGCCAACATTTCTGTCTTATTAAATTGGAACTTTAAGGATAGCTCTGCCTTGGACTCTTATTTAATTCTGCATGATATTTGGAACACTGACACCATGGTTACATCTAAATTCCCTGCCCCCTGGCTCCTAGTGACCATTAGGGCAGCCAGGTTTTTAGCTGGGATGACTGGATGAACTACAGTTGGTTTGGTGCTGTTGTACTGGGGAAGCCTGGACAGGGCATCTGCCATAAAGTTCTTCTCTCCGGGGATGTATTTCAAGGTAAAGTTGAACCGGTTGAAATGCTGTACCCAACGTACCTGTTTAGGTGACAGCTTACGCAGGGTTTTCAATGCTTTCAGGTTTTTATGATCAGTCCATACTTCAAAAGGGGTTTTTGCCCCCTCCAGAAAATGTCGCCAGGTCATCAAGGCCCACCGGACCGCAAAAGCTTCCTTTTTCCATATGGCCCATCTCCTTTCCGTTTCTGTAAGCTTACGGGAGGTGTAGGTGCAAGGTTGCCATTTTCCCTCTGCGTTCATTTGGAGCAACACTGCCCCCACTGCTACGTCACTTGCATCCGCTTGAATCACAAATGGTGCATCCATGTCTGGGTGTTTCAAAATGGGTTCAGCTGCAAACAGTCGCTTCAACTTCTCGAAAGCTGCTTGACATTCCATAGCCCAGTTCAGAGGCTTACCAGGCCTAGGTTTAGCCTCTCCTTTTGATTTCAGGAGATTCATGATTGGCAGTGCAATACTAGCGAATGAGGGGATAAATTGAAGGTAGAAATTAGCAAATCCCAAAAAACTTTGTAGTTACTTGCGGGTGCGAGGAGCTGCCCACTCAGTAACAGCCCAGACTTTCTCCAGGTCCATCTCGATGCCTTCATGGGAAATACGGTATCCCAAATAATCGATTCTCTCTTGGTGAAATTCACACTTAGACAATTTGGCATAAAGTTCAGCGGCCCAGAGATTTTTGAGGACCAAGCACACCAAAGTCACATGTTCTTCACGTGTTTCCATGTAGATAAGGATGTTGTCAAGGTAAACCAACACCCCCTTGTACAGATGTTCATGCAACACCTCATTTATTAATTGCATGAAGACCAATGGCGCCCCCTGAAGTCCAAACGGGAGTACTCTAAACTGGATGTGAAGTTCCCAGAAGATGACCTAATTAATTTCCGAGCCTCGAGGCAAAGTTCAAAAGAAATCCATTCATTTATTAGAATCAACATTCTGGCATGTTCTTCTGTGGAGCCGAAACTGATTACCGCTTAATTGCGTTTGAACTTTACCCCTCTATCCTCTCCCTTCTGTCTGTGTCATAAATCATATCCACCAACTAGGTTGTAGAAATATGAGATCCGACTCTGGCCGAAGGTATGCATGGAATCCTCCCTCCAATGCCAACCTGATAATAGTCATGGCAACCCTTTACAAGTTGACACTGGAAACATCCCAAAGGGCAGTTGAAGGCAGTTTTCCACTCATCTCCCTCTTTTATTCTGACTCTGTAGTAGGCTTCTCTTAGATCTAACTTCATGAAAATTTTCCCTTTACCCAAATGGGCTAACATGTCCTTCATGGGCAGAGGTTACACGTTTTCCACACAAATGGCATTCAGTTGACACATAGACAAAAGGAGCCATCTTTTTTCTCTCTGAATAAGACGGGTGCGGCCACCCATGGTCTGGCGGGTTGTATGAACCTCCTTTTTAAATTTTTGTCAATGAAAATGAAATGAAATTTCCTCCATCTCATGTAGGATCATCGAGTAAATCTGAGGCTTAGGGAGTTTTTCCCCTGGAAGGATCTCAATGTTGTAATCAGTGGCGCGGTGAGGAGGCAGTTTGTCGGAAGCCCTTTCGCTGAAAACCTCTCTGAGGTGCCAATATTCTTTGGGGATTTTTTCCTCTCCCACAATTTTCTCATGCATGACAACTGCTAAGTCTCTTGCAGCTCTGGCTAGGTGGGAAGTCTTTCCCTTGTTCGCTGCAGGGGTTAGACATTTGGGTGCTCCCCCCCATGGAAGCTTTTAACTCCGGGATGGGTGTGAGCTGTGATCTTGCTTAATGTCAGGCATGCCTCCTTCAGTATCCAAGAAAGAAAAACCTCAACTCCATTTGAATAGAGTTAAAGTACTTTTACCAGATATGAATTAGCAATAGCAATAGCAGTTAGACTTATATACCGCTTCATAGGGCTTTCAGCCCTCTCTAAGCGGTTTACAGAGTCAGCATATTGCCCCCAACAACAATCCGGGTCCTCATTTTACCCACCTCGGAAGGATGGAAGGCTGAGTCAACCCTGAGCCGGTGAGATTTGAACCGCCGACCTGCTGATCTAGCAGTAGCCTGCAGTGCTGCATTTAACCACTGTGCCACCTCGGCGCAGTGGTTGAAAGCAGCAAAAAGGAAAGCAAGATCTGAGCCAAAAAGGCATGAACAAGTACATATCAAATGATTACCCAGCCCCCTCCCTCCAATTACCTCAGCCCAGTGTCCAATCTGCAACTCTCTATGGTATTATGTGGGGTGTACCTTCATAAGGCCTCATCAGGTTGGTATGTGAGATGGTTGGCCTTGACCAAGACCAAACATCGGCCATCAGCATGTGCAGAAGATGGTGAAAACAAAACTCCCTTCTACATACTCCTCCAGTACCATATAATTCCTTTCCCAAATACCATGCCCCCACCCTCCCCGTTTCTACAGCAGCCAATAGCAAGCAAGCGAAGCAGAGGCTGACAAAACCAGTTTTTCCCCTAATCCTAACCACAGGAAAGACAAAGCCGTTGGAATAAAACTCATCAAGGCATTGTGGGAAGTATTAGCATAAAGGACAGTTCCAGAAACCTCACAGAACCAGAAACCACAAGAAACAGTGCCAAGAAACTCAAGCCAGCCCTTCCCCCTTTAAAAAAAACACCAGACAAAAGCATCATCTTAAAGGAAGAATTAATGTCTTAAGTGCACCCATTAAGATAAGGGGAATCAGCAGACTAAAAATAGCTTGCCTGGAACTCCCCTTTTCCTGTTTCCTGGCAGAACTAACCCCCAGGATAGGAATGACAAAAGACCTGGGATGAAGATTAACCCAGGAAAACAAAAGCAGGGTAATCAGAAACCATCAAAACCCATCAAGCTGCAGTAGCTCACAAAGCCGCACACAGCCCAACATATGAAAGCAGCCATGGAGTCATATAAAAGGTGATTGCTGCAAGAAGCAATCACCTCACAATTACCTCAAAAACCACTTATCACAGAGAAACACACAAAATCTCTCAAAGCTTGCACCAACCTGCACATATAAAAGCAGCCATTTTGAGGCACATAAAATTTATAAGGCAAACCCCCCAATGGGTAGGAGAAACCCACTAAATGGACAAGGATCTATCCTGTCACTTGGACAGGACTGGAGCGATGGCGACCGCATAAGAGGGAAGCAAATAGAAAAAGCAGTTGAAATCAAGGCATTTGTTATCATTGACAACCCAAAAAAGGAGGACAACGTGAAAGTGGCAGAGCGGGTGAGCTGGAAAAAAAGGGTCTGTGGTGAAGACTATTTTTATAGTCCAGATTCTTGTCAA